GCACGGGTATGGTGCTGACAAACCTAGAAACATAATTGGGGCGAACCGGGATTCGAACCCACAATCATAGGTTTCTGGCATGCCCAAGGGACGCAACTCTGCACAGCGAATCGCGGCGCCTTAGACGACTGGGACACCCGTGCCCCCCAACATGGCATGAAATAGTGCATGGCTTTGTGATATTTGGAAATTGAAAAAAACGTTTGACTGATAAACGAGACAATCTTGGGTATGTTTTTGTTAGTTATTGCGAACTATTGTTGACTGCCATGTTTATTTAACATTCATTCATTTCAGTTGGGTGGACTGTTCATCACCTACTTCTTCCTCCTGCTGCAATTCAAGATATAGACTGACATTGGGTTGTCCTCATGTGGATAGATTCATACACACCAAGTGTCCTGTCCCAAAAATGGAGACTTACTCTATGCCACAGTAACGACAATTGCCGCTGTAAGATCATCAAGATCAGTGAAAACTACCACAGCTGGCAAGGCCCACTTACAGTTTCACTCTGATGAAAAGATAAAATCTCCTCTGGAAATAAAAAATGACATCAGTTCTCAACCTTTGGCATTGTACATTTTATTGTGGGTGGTCTTTTATTTTTGTTAATGTTAGAAAAAACATATGAGATGTACATTTTACCCACCCCTCTGTGACTGCTCTTACTACCCTTTTAGCTAAAATTGCAAAATCAAGAACATGTAGACAACCACACACTGAGATGCTATTTGTTCATGCTGAGATTCTCCCAGTTGCTGTCGACATAATAGTTTAGCGCCCATTCCCAAAGAAGGAGATAAAACACAAAACAATTATCAAATTTGTTCTGTTACGGGAAATGACATAATTAGGCCTACACACTCTATAATTAGGCCCCACATTCGCTTACCCAACACCCACCTCTCCTTTATCAACAACCTGATTAAATGCAACAGCTAAGAATGTGTATCAGTAAGTGCAAATGACTATCAAATAAAATGATTGGTTTTCTATTCAGAGAATAAGCAAACGAGTTCTTTGTCCCTCTGTAACGTTTCGTTTCCAGATATACTTTTCTTCTTGAACTGTACAATATTTACAGGAAGGTCTGGTGGTTTCACTATTTCTTGCAATTCCGACGGAAATGTGGTTGAATACTACATGATTGGCTTTATCCCTGGCCCAAAAATCAAAAGCGTTCAGGCAATAAACACATATACAGGTTGAATTATGTAGTTTGTCTTTTGGCATACATAACGTTTAGCTCACTTGGATCAAGATATACGTACGGTATTTCTGATGCACCAAACGTGGAGATCACAATATATATTAAAGTCAAAGCCTCGATTATCTTCTGAAATAGATTCGACTAGACAGGGGTCCGCGAAAAGGATAAGCATGTCCTGCCCTTTAAGTAGCACCCGTCACTTACACAATTGGCATAGAAAAGGACAGTGTGCATTGCCTCATACCTGTTTTCGGGTATTCTATGGAATTTCTAAACGATAGTATAAAATTGCGTTCATGTCGCAGGATTATCTGGGCCAGAATCGATTTTTTTACAGACAGTCGTCGTATGACAGGAGTACTGATGGGCTTGTTTTGCTTCGGCCCTAAATGTGATAGGGCTGAATATGAACCTTGCTTGTTTACTTATATGTGACGAAGGTCTTTCAACTTTCTCTTAGCCATAAAATACGTTGGCATCAATAGATGTATGTGAGAGACACCATGTGAATACATGACAGTAACATTAAATAGTGTTCATGCTCCTGAATAGATCATAATGTTGAGCAGTGTGCATGTGGTGAATGGACCTGTCATGAATGTGGCAGAGTAGAGAATGAACCTACAAGATGCTTCTCTGAAAGGTCTAAGGCACCGACAATATTTTATCCCATGAAAAAGTACGCTATTTACGTCGTGATGGGCTGATGTCATGACGCTCCCACAGTTTGTACAAAACGTAAGTGTTTGTTTGATGCCTGATGCCACACGACAGTACACGTGACATGTGACGGCAGAATGCAAACAAAACAGAAAATCAAGTGATGAACCATGGAATCCACTCACATGATAGTGAGTGAGTGAGTGAGTGAGTGAGTTGGGTTTAACGCCGCTTTGAACAGTATTCCAGTTACATCGCGGCGTGTCAGCTTAATGTGGGAGGAAAGCCCGAAGTGATGCAGGTATCAGACGTTAACCACTTCGGTGAAACCCACGAGCACGGGTATGGTGCTGACAAAACTAGAAACATAATCGGGGCGAACCCGTGCCCCCCACATGATAGTGAATTTTACCGATTTTCAACAAAAAGTAATGGTGACAATTGCCCAATAAAGTCTAAAACGCTCAGTTGCACCCGATCATGAATGATATTGTTACCACAAATATCCAAGCTCCTATCCCAAATACATGAGAGTGAGTGTGGTTTTACGCCGCTATAAACAATATTCTAGTAATATCATGGTGGGGGGCACCAGAAATGGGCTTCACACATTGTACCCATGTTGGGAATAGAACCCGGGTCTTCGGCTTTACGAGCGAACGCTTTAACCAATGGGCTACCCGATCGCCCCTTGTTTTAGTAGAAGACATGATACTTTTTATAGATAACGACATCCATATTGTTTGTAGTGACGTTTCATAGCTACCTCCTGCCCACGTATCTGATGGGGGCGGTGGGATAGCCTAGTGGTTAAAACGTTTGCTCGTCACGCCGAATGCACGGTTTCGATGTGTGAAGCCCATTTCTGGTGTCCCCCGCCGTGATATTGCTGGAATATTGCTAAAAGCTGTGTAAAACCAAACTCACTCAGGGTGGAACAGACAATCAGTGTCGCGATAGAGTATGGAAAAGACGTGATTGTCTGAAGGTACAAAACACCTATGACGTTGATGAGAAATGCTATCCATCCACATACTTTGGACCATATTGAAATACTGCTGCTTTCCTTGAAATTTGAATCATTAGCTTGTGTCCTGTAGTTACTGCATCCTAAATGTATTTTGTGTCTACAAATCAGCGTTATTGTATTTGTGCTATATGGGTCAATCCCTGTGAGGGTAAATTACAGGTCGTACATCAAATAGCTTGCAAAACTTGATTGGTTAAACCTAACCTTAAATAAGTGCGATCTCCGTTTTAGCTATTAGCCATGTTACAGCACTTAGCTGAATATCAATTTATCAACTGTCCTAAAACCATCAGCACGTGCCACCGTAGAAAACTGTTTATACTCTTCACTGATAGCGGGCTCTGTACTCTTGCATAATGCCCATACAGGTTTCTGATTGTGTGACTTCATTACCAAATAGAGTTGATGCTTCCCCGCTCAAGTCCAATCAGTTGATTATGCAGCCATTTGCCGTACATAGTGTGATTTTCAGTGTGCTGCTGGGTTTACGTTTGAATCTTTAAAAAGTAAATGGGGTTTATGGTGTTTAGGTGGCTGTGGATATCGACAGGTACAAAGTCAGCCTTGTTCGAAAGCTTTACATTAATTGTCACGTGATTGATAATGTGACACGGGCACCTCACTGTGTTGTTTCAAAGCGTCAATTCTAAACCGCATCACCGCACAGGGATGAATATGTCTTTCATTTGAACTACAGGCACAATTCAAATTAACAATTGGACGTTTTGTCGAATGAAGTTACGGATTACATGCCAGCATCAATCATGAATATAGAAAGTATTGACATTTCTGATGGAAAGAACATTGCAAACAATTACAAGTCCATACCAACTGAGAACAGAATGAAACCTCTATTGATATCCATGAAAATATTTGGACTGTACTTTGACCCACAGCAGGATAGCAATGCATTGGAACAGTCACAGAATGGTCGTAAGAGAATATCTACAAGCCTACAGGCATTCTTCAGCCACCGACTGTATTGTTACATGGTTCTTCTTTTGCTGTGGTTCAACTTTGTCCGAAATGCTGTTGGCATATTCCCTCTTAATAAAGGTTTACCCTTGAGGATCTGTCTCACGTTCTGGTATCTCCAGTTCTCATTGAATGCAACTATCATGGTTGTTTCATGTCAGAGACTTGGCCACTTGCGATCCTTCTACAAACATTGGGATGCTCTTTTCAACAACAATGTGACGGAAGAAATCGGATGTGGATACAGATGCCCAATAACGTATTTGAATGTTGCAACATCAAGTGCATGGGCTGTAATTGTCGTCAGTGTAGCTGCATGTTTTACAGTCATTCTTGGCAATGTTTCCAATTCTAATCTTTTCCTTGTTGATATTCTTCGTCCTTTTCCAGTGGAACAATGGGCAGTCGCACTCCATCTTATTGTGTTTACTTTCGACACCGGTGCATGGGTATTCCCTGTAATCTTCGTGGTCGTAGTTTCCAGGGTCATCAAAGGTCAGTTCCTCAGATTTGGGCAGGTCCTTTCCAAGCAGATCAAGGAAGCAGATGACAACATCCCTGAACGTCTGCCAGAACTGAGATCTCGCTACACACAGCTTTGTCAGGCTGTGGATATCATCAACAGAACCTTCAAATGGATCCTCGGACTATCCCTTTCCCTTCAGGTTTCCCAGGCCTGCTTTGTTTCGTATCAGATGATAAACTACCGAGAGGAAATGTTTAAAACTTTTATCTATTCGTATTGGTTGGGAAGTTGTTTTGTGATTGTTGTTTTGCTGACAATGAGCAGTTCTGGTGTACATGACGCAGTAAGTATACACTTTTATTTAGCATCTCACTCTGACCCAGTCGTCTACAGTTCCACAAATCAATGTGCGTGACGTGGTTGCACCAAACAGGTGTGCCAGAGAGATGATCGTGGGTTCGAATCGCAAATTCGTTTGGTTAAGTTTCTAGGTTTGTGATTACTTCAGGCTTTGTGACTATGGTTTTTTCAACGTTGCTAGTTATGTAATACACGATATGTTCCTCAGTGTTTATTATGGCATTGCTATTTCCAAATTCTCAGCCTACGATGGCTGTTTAGATAGACATCTACAAAATGTTAAAAAACTATTTCAGGCCCATTCCTTGCTGGATGACATTTTCCAGATTGGAACAAAAAACGCAACTGCAGAACTTCTGGGACAGGTAGGTATATGTTTTTGCCATACAATACTGGCTCCCAAAGGTAATTTTAATTATTTATGTTATTCCTCGAAGAAACGCCCCAGCCAGCAAAATTAGATTGAACCAACAATGTGGGCTGAGAAATGGGTCCATTGAGGATTTGTCTAAGGGGTTCCAATTTGGTCCTATCTAGGCATATATCTATTGTGCCTGTGAAGGTATGTATGGGTTTGTTTTCTCTGCATAACAAATGAGTTGATGTATTATGAATGTATCAATATAAATTGGTACAAAATGTTTACTAAAAACAAAATTCTTCACTCTAATAATACAGACATTCATGACAATAGTTTTCAGTCCACACAAAGACCAGACAAATGCTTTGGTTGTATTTTTTTAATTTAGTCTTTCACAAACAGCATATTTCTTTTTTGTCCTTTTATGGTATTTTAAGCTTATCCATTAACTAACACTAAATAAAGTAATAAATAGATATACAATACATAAGCTTATATCAGATAATTGTCATCACCGCCAAAATAATAGACTAAGATACCGAAAATCTAGGCCTTCTATAAGTGCAGGCAGTATCTGTAACATAAATTGTGAAGACATTCAGCGAGAACGGTCGGTTTTAGTTCCCATGTACGTGTAGACCTCGGCGACTTAGGGTCTTCTCCCGATTGTAAAACAGTTTACTTTAGTGGGAGGCTGAAAAGGTTAGAAGGCATTACTGAGGAACAAGATCTTACACATTTCCTACCAAAATAAATAAAAAATGGCGGAAGGTGTCCCGTAAAAGGCATTCATATCTTGTTTGTGTCATTGTGTCGATGAGTGGGGTATCTGTATATTTCGAAACGAAGTAACAATGGCAGGCTCTTAACAGACTTGATGCCCCATTCGCTTGGCTCCAACACTAGCCCAATTAGACCCCAGGACGAGTGAGCGCGGGAACTAACAAAGATGCCTTATGGCCCCATTCAGCCTTGCTTTACAACGGTATAAGGTTCTATACCGAAACTTCGCCTTTACATTCAACAAAGGCGTTGTTATCCATAAATTATCTCTACTTTGGCCTAGAGAAGCTTCCCCTTCCCGACTGATTGCCGCCAAAGGAGATACTTGACAAATGTGTCTTTGCCAAAATGGTAGTTACGCTACTGCCTTAAAACAAGGTTCAGCTGGAACTATATTGCATGTTGTCACGCTCCGACTGACCAATCACTCATCACCTTTTGCCGCAATATTTTAATCACACATTCCAGGGAAACTTGCAATGTTTGTATTCATTTGTGATCGGGCCATCATCATCAATTCTTCCTTACTTTTTCAGCTTAACCTCTTTGTCTCCAAGTTGACAGGAACATCCACTGGATTCACGGCCATTAACTTCTTTGTCATCACAAACGAGTTCCTTCTGACTGTAAGTTGAAACGTCAACAATAAATACCATAAAATCTAACATCTGTCTTGCCACAGGACATTGGACATTAATGAAATCAATATACCACTGTTCAATGATACGACATACAACATAACATGGCATGAAATAGTGCATGGCTTTGTGATATTTGGAAATTGAAAAAAACGTTTGACTGATAAACAAGACAATCTTGGGTATGTTTTTGTTAGTTATTGCGAACTATTGTTGACTGCCATGTTATTCAACATTCATTCATTTCAGTTGGGTGGACTGTTCATCACCTACTTCTTCCTCCTGCTGCAATTCAAGATATAGACTGACACTGGGTTGTCCTCATGTGGATAGATTCATACACACCAAGTGTCCTGTCCCAAAAATGGAGACTTACTCTATGCCACAGTAACGACAATTGCAGCTGTAAGATCACCAAGATCAGTGAAAACTACCACAGCTGGCAAGGCCCACTTACAGTTTCACTCTGATGAAAAGATAAAATCTCCTCTGGAAATAAAAAATGACATCAGTTCTCAACCTTTGGCATTGTACATTTTATTGTGGGTGGTCTTTTATTTTTGTTAATGTTAGAAAAAACATATGAGATGTACATTTTACCCACCCCTCTGTGACTGCTCTTACTACCCTTTTAGCTAAAATTGCAAAATCAAGAACATGTAGACAACCACACACTGAGATGCTATTTGTTCATGCTGAGATTCTCCCAGTTGCTGTCGACATAATAGTTTAGCGCCCATTCCCAAAGTAGGAGATAAAACACAAAACAATTATCAAATTTGTTCTGTTACGGGAAATGACATAATTAGGCCTACACACTCTATAATTAGGCCCCACATTCGCTTACCCAACACCCACCTCTCCTTTATCAACAACCTGATTAAATGCAACAGCTAAGAATGTGTATCAGTAAGTGCAAATGACTATCAAATAAAATGTTTGGTTTTCTATTCAGAGAATAAGCAAACGAGTTCTTTGTCCCTCTGTAACGTTTCGTTTCCAGATATTTGACAATTGCCAAAAAAAAGTCTAAAGCACTTCCTTTTTTTCAACGAAAGCAAACAAATTGAATCATATAATCCGCATGCCTCTTCGACTCTGAAATTATGTTGTTGATCTTCCTATCAGCCATTGGAAGTAAACACTCTTAAAAAGAATATGTCAACCAACTCCAACGATGCAGGGTTACCCGAAACGTAAACAAAGCACTCTTTTCGTGTCACAGCAGCCACTAACGTGACAAAGTTGTCCGAGGCGGGCGTAAGTGACTCACAAGTATCAAATGCTAATAGACTCTATCCTGTGTTTGATCCTTTCAGGGCGTCCCTCAAGGCAGTCACTTTTCTTCTCGTGGATAGAAGAAATTGGCTTAACGTTTTCTAACTCCAAGACAAACTGTGTTCACTTATGCCAAAAATACAAACACCACCCGGATCCAGACTTATTTTTAGATCAAGGAAATAGAGGAGGCCCACTCATCAAATATCTAAGGCAGGGGGCACGGGTGGCCCAGTCGTCGAAGGCGCCGCGATTCGCTGTGCAGAGTTGCGTCCCTTGGGCACACCAGAAACCTATGATTGTGGGTTCGAATCCCGGTTCGCCCCGATTTTGTTTCTAGGTTCGGCAGCACCATACCCGTGCTCGTGGCTTTGACCGAAGTGGTAAACGTCTGAGACCTGCATCACTTCAGGCTTTCCTCCAAAATTAAGCTACACGCCGCGATATAACTGGAATAATGTTAAAAGAGGCGTTAAACTCACTCACTCACTCTAAAGGCAAAGTGCCTGAAGGCTCTTGACTCCTTGCAAGTTGTTTTAAGTTCCGTATGGGGAGGGAATCAGTAATCCGATTCAAACCAAATAATGGTTCCATTACACCACCAAGGCCTTAGGCTGTTCTTTCGTGGAGCTTTCAGGACCTGCCCTGTGCGCAGTCTGGATGTTGAGGTTAATGAACCTCTCCTTGAAGAACGCCGCATTAAGCCATCACTGCAATATGATATTAAATTGCATTCAAAACACTCAAACCCAGCATGTAATTATGTTTTCAACCCTCTTCGTGAGACCATGTTCAAAATAAAAAAACCTGGTTCCAGCTCTTGAAATCAGAATTCATGCAAACAACACAGCAGCTAAAATATATTTTGATATCATTTCACTTTACCGACTTCTGTGGTCTCGCTGGCAGATGGTGACGCCAGAGGTGGACCTCACTTTGGTATTTTATATAGCAAGAATATAGCAAGTTATGAACAAAGTACAACGCTCACAGATCCATTATTACAGACAGGCCAAAGGATGGTGGCAAAGTTACAACTACCAATGTCGTTTGATCCAAAACTGTTTCCTCAAGAATGCCAGATTATAGTTCTCTCTTCACTGTTGAGGCCTAGGCTAAACAGCTTTGACCAATATTAAACAACAAAACCAATGGAAAACATTCATTCTGATTTCAGATTGCTTGTGTTGTCTTCGGGCACTTAAAAGTGTCTCCTCGAATCATACTATAATCCTAGACATTTTAGAACTTTGCAATGATTTTTGTACTAGCCAATGCGACATAATATTTTGCTGATACCTGCAGGTCATGTAGGTATAGTAGATAACTCGAAAGCCGATGCTGCAACTAACCCTTATCTCCACTCCTTACTTCCCAGTTATTTCCGAATTAACACTCGGCATCTTATGCAACAAAAGGTGACACCCAAGTGGGAATCAATACACTTTATGAATTTAAAACAAACAATCGGTCATACCTTCTTCGGTTGTCAATAAGGGTATGATGAGGTCATTTTGCGATGATGTCGTCATGGCCACAGTCGGTTTTCTTTGGAGATTATTTCGTATGTGTTTCCACTGTAGAGTAGATACCTCTTTTTGTAATTTGGAACCGAACGCTTTAGTAAGAATTAGCACCCTTCAATAACATGGAAGAATCACGAATATCTGCTCAGAACAGATGAGGACGAACCTCATACAGTAAACTACGTTTATAACGAACTGACCGATATAACGAACTTATTTTTTAGTCCTGGCCATTTGTTGTATATATGTTGTAATTATGCCTATAACGAACTATGGTTATTACGAACTAAAATTAGTGGTCCCTTTGAGTTCGATATAACCATGATGAAAGGTTCACCATCAAGCATACTTTGCTTGACTGCGTAGAATATATAAACACATAGGTGAGTGAGTGCGTGAGTTAATGCTTTACGTCACACCGGCAATATTTCAGCCATATCGTGACGAGAAATTATACATTTTTAATACATATATCTTAACTAAATAAAAACCTGCCATCGATGGACAGTAAAAGTACTAGAATATCACAGATTAATATAAAAAAACTAGCATACTACTATAAAAAAAATATCATTATAAATAACGGTACAATATAAAAAAGGGCTATAGATCGCCAGCAGCTGAAGGTAGATCACCACACTAGGGACCATGGGGACTTACAGTACTTTAGCTTCCTGCATGGAACCCAGCAGGATTTACATCATCCCTTCAGCAACTAGCGATTGTACGCAAAGTTAGCCACAATTAAAATTACAAATATACTACGTTTAAAAGTGTAGTAGGCAGAACTATTCTTTGAATGCCGTGGACTTACTATATCCTCTCAGGGGGACAATAATTTTACACTATGTCAAACCCCTTTGAGGATGCAGCCAATAACAAACTCGGATATAAATTCATTCTAACAATTTTAAAAAGTCATTCATTTTATACAAGACACATCATCAAAATTTACTATACAGTTCTATTTCTTTTAAAAACCCAATAATTAAATGAGTGTTAACATTGTTAAAAAAGATCCTTTAGAGAAGATGATTTGAAATAGTTATCCTTTGAGATGGCAACCAATACAGTCAAGCAGGACATGCTTGACCGTGATTCTCTCATCACAAGGGATACAAAATGGAGGATTTTCACCTTTTAATAAATATTCGTGACTAAATCTACTATGGCCAATACGACATCGTCGTAAAATGACCTCTGTAAATCTGGACTGACAACCCAAGTAGGTGTAACCGATATGTGGTTTAATTTCATGTAATTTATTGATACCTACTTGAGTGTCCCACTTTTGTTGCATTTGATCTCTGATGTAACATCTAATAACAGGTTTGATATCAGTGTATGGGATCAGAAGTAGTGTCACAGATTTGTTGAGTGCTGCTTTTGCAGCAGCATCGGCCATTGTGTTCCCACTGATTCCAACATGGCTGGGTAACCAACAAAAGATGATGTCATATTGGCCAGAACCAAGTTTATTATATAATTCAATAATTTGGATTAAAAGTGGATGGTTACATGATATATTTTTGATAGCCTGAAGACATGAGAGTGTGTCTGAAAATAATACATATTGCTAATGCTTAGATTGTTTACCAATATATTTTAGAGCTGTTAAAATGGCATGGGATTCGGCTGTAAAGATGGAACTATGATCTGGAAGTCGTGAAGAAATAGTCCTGGATCCAATTACAGTGGGGCTGGCAACCGCGTCACCATCCTTGGATCCATCTGTGAATATAGTTTTGTAAGTTTGATATGTGTTCTGTAATTGATTAAATTCTTGTTGGTAAATTAGTTGGTTTGTTTCGGATTTCTTAAGTTCAGTTAATGACAGATCAACCTATGGCTGTACCAACTGCCATGGTGGAGAAGAGCTATATTTTTAAGATCGATATTAGCAGCAGAAATTGCAGGTTTGATTCGTAGACCGAGTGGAGGAATAAGGGATGGCTTTTTAAAATATATGTCCTCATATGCAGGATTAGTTTGATTTGAATAAAGCTTTGTAAGATAGTGTAATGAGAATTTTATCCGACGTTGATTAATGATGGCTCATTCAGGCTTTCGATAGGGGATGTTCTGAAGGCTCCAAGGCAAAACCTCAGGCCTTGATGATGAATACTATCAAGTATTTTTAAGTTACTTTTACAGGCTCCACCATAGATGATGGAGCCATAGTCCAGTTTAGAGCGGATAAGTGCTCTGTACAGTTGGAGGAGGGTTTTCTGATCCCCTCCCCACTTTGAATTTGAAACGACTTTCAGAAGGTCAAGGGTCTTCAGGCATATATTTTTCAAATATTTTATGTGTGGTAAAAAGGTCAGATGGTGGTCAAAAATAATACCCAAGAACTTGACTTCTTTTACAACTTTAGTAGGAGTGTGTGTATCCAAAACTAGTTCTGGGTCTTTATGTGATTTGTATTTTCTACAAAAATGAATACAATTCGTTTTTGATTTTGAAAATTTAAAACCATTTTCTAATGACCATTTATGGATTTTTATAGACACTGTAATTGTCTTTCAATAGTATGCATATTTTTACCACGACATGAAATGTTAAAATCATCCACGAATAGAGATCCATCAATTGAATCATTTAAAACTTTAGATAGGCTGTTTATTTAAATACTGAACAATGTGACAGACAAAATACTGCCTTGTGGGACACCCTGATCCTGATTGTAATGATCAGACAGGGTGGAACCCCACACGAACTTAAAATTGCCTGTCTGATAGAAATTTGGAGATAAATTGAGGCAAAGGGCCTCGCAACCCAAAATCGTGTAAATCTTTTAAAATACCATGTTTCCATGTAGTGTCGTATGCTTTTTCTTAATCGAAAAAGATAGACAATGCATGTTGTTTCTTTATGATGGCATGTTTAACAAAAGTTTCCAAACGAACAAAATGATCGATGGTATTATTGGTTTCCAGGTACCAAACTAAGCGATTATTGATCATACGTTCCAAAGTTTTGCAAACGTAGCTGGTCAATGAAATTGGTCGATAATTTGAAGGATCGGCATTATCACGACCAGGTTTAGGTATTTGAACAATAATAGTTTCACGCCACGAAGAAGGAAATTCTCCTGAAGTCCAGCTGTCATCAAATATTGTTAAAAGGGTTTCTAGACATGATTGTGGTAAATGTTTCAGGAGTTGATAAGGTATATTATCCGATCCTATAGCAGTATCATGAGCTTGCCCAAGGGTAGCATGGAGCTCATGTATGGAGAAGATTTCATTCTAATCCTCCCCATTATCTGATTTGAAATTAATAGATTTCTTTTCTTGCTGCTCTTGGTAGGACTGGAATTTAGGGACATAATTCGACGAGGAAGAATGTTTAGACAGAGTTTCACCAAGTTTATTGGCAATATCTGAAGTATCTGTCGACAAGTCATACCAATTTTTAAGACGGTGGATGCTAGTTTTCGAACCCTTACCTTTAATTCTTTTAATCATGTTCCATACTTTAGACAATGGAGTACGTGAATTTATTTAAGAGACATATTTTTCCCAAGACTGGCGTTTGTTTTGTTTAAATATGCGCCTGGCTTTAGCATTCATAATCTTGAATTTATTTAGATTATGCACCATTGGATGTCGGCGGAAATAATGCTCGGCCTTTTTCCTGGCCTTCCTTACTTGTTTGCAAGCATCATTTAACCATGGTATTCGTATGCGAGAACCGCAGAGGACTTTGGAATACATTCATCAGCAATTTTTGTTAATTCATCAGAAAAAACATTTGATAGGATCAGGAACACCAATAATAAGATTAGGTTTAAGTTTGTTTGTACAGAGAGATACATAGAAGGCCCAGTTAGCTTTATTAAAGTTCCATCTTGATGATCGAGGAACATCAGATGGGGTCACAGGCTTTAAAATAGTAGGGAAATGGTCACTTCCACAGAGGTCATTGTGGACTGACCATTCAAATTCATTCAGTATTTCTGAATCTGTAATTGACAAATCCAGAGACGTAAGTACCTGTACCAGGATGTAGATAAGTGTCCGAACCATCATTATATATGCACAAATCGTTATCAGAAATGAAATCTTCTATGGTCTTTCCTTTGATACTTGTATGCGCACTGCCCCAAAGCGGATTATGTCCATTGAAATCGCCAATAATAATACAGGGCTTCGGGAGCTGGTCATACAGGGCCTGAGGGTCAGTCTGCGTCATAGAAGACGATGGAGGGATGTAAACAGAGCATTGGGTAAGAACAATGTGCATAGCTATACGGACAGCGACAGCTTGAAGTGGGGTATCAAGAGTAACAGGGCTGTGAATAACACCCTGCCTCACCAAGACAGAAGAACCTCCAGTTGCTTTAGCACCCAGAGGTGAATAGAAATGATACGAATTATACTGTCTGATATCCATTAGATCAGTGGTTTTCAAGTAAGTCTCTTGGAGGCAAAATGCTGATGGTTTATGAGCTTGTATTAATAATTGCAATTGATTTTTTTTCTTAGTCCTCTACAATACCATTGGATGATATTTGGAGAGCTACTCAGGGGGGCTCAACTGGTGATCTGGAACGTGAGGGAGGACCACTCCCTGGTATGGAGTTGGAAGGAGTGACCTCCATCTCCAGAGGTTCAAACGAATTGTGAACCTCAACATGGTAAGACGTATGAGAAGGCACCTCCAAGTGTTGGAGGGCCCTGGCTCTTTTCTTTATCTGTTTTTTTCCTTGTTTGTCAGGTGGGCAGTGCCCTCAACATTCTCAATTTGTTTCATGGCATCATGAGTGTCTGATGCTGGTTTAGATGGTAGAACATCAGTTTGAGTCTCTGATGTTGATATTCCTGGAAGCCTGTGTTAGTGTGTCATATTTGACAACACATTCAAGACATCTATGTGTGACACATGTGAAGAGGACGCACTGCGATGGCGCTGACATATGTAGAGCAGGTGAATATAGTAAGTTGGTTGGTTTGTTGTTTAACGCCGCACTCAGCAATATTCCAGCTATATGACGGCGGTCTGTAAATAATCGAGTCTGGACCAGACAATTCCTTGATTAATATCATGTGCATCGAACCACGCATCGATCCATCGATGCCATGCATCAACCAAGACAGCCAGCCTGACCGCCTGATCCCGTTAGTCGCCTCTTTCGACAAGCATAGTTGGCTTTTACGGCAAGAATGGGTTGCTGAAGACCTATCCTCCCTGGATCTTCACGGGTCTCAACCTCCAATGAGCTAGTTCTGTCAAACACTGGCAAAAAATGGTGCTTAAAACAAGTTTCTATGACTGAACTATCAACTTATGTCAAAGGACTCAAATATACAGGTATTTTTCTTGGACTATTCAAACGGAGATCTTATGTCAGCTCTTACTAAATATAATCTAAATAACTACGTGTGTTCTTATCTTACTTGTGGAGTGTTTCCAAACAAATCAAAAAGGAGAACTATAGTCAACAGAGCAGCAGAACAGCAATGGGTTCACAATGTTTCAGTTAATTCAGGCTTATCGCGCAACAAAAATATCCATTCAAGATTAACCGTACATGCGTACTGGTTTCGGTTTTTTTAGTATTCCAAACAACGATAAACTGTGTGTAAAAAGTCTCCTCACAACCCGAACAGTCTGTACAGTGTAGGTTGTGTCACGCCACGGACTATGACAAACATGTCATATTACATTATGAATCTCTCTTGTGTTAAAGAAACTATTTCTTTTCAAAACGTATTGATGCTTATGATGTGAGTACAACGGTAAACTTTGAAATGCAAGATGAAGATGACATGTTGTCATTCTTGCTCGGCGCTATTCCCACATTAAGCCAAACAATTGATGGGCAAACCAAAACTCATGCGTTGATATTTTAATACCGCTCGATATAGTATGTTATTATGTTCACAAGTATCCTGTAGACATATGATATTCAAAATCATATCTGAAATTAACACTGGTGTGTGTTTGAAAATACGTTTGGGGCCTGTATTGACAACGTCCTAACTGTTCGGTTTTTGTATTTTTAGTTTACAAATCGGAATTATTGTATTTGTGCTATGTGGGTCAATCCCTGAGAGATACATTACCGCAGTTTAACATGGATACCCCACTCAGACACAGTATAACGACTCCGAGCCAACCAGTCCTTTTTTAGCCCCTTTATGCCGAGCGCCAGTCAGGATAACAACAAGTACCCTCTTTAACGTCTTTTGGTATGACGGGGCCGGGGATCGAACCCAGGACCTTCCGCTCTCTGGGTGGACGCTCTACCACTGATTAAAACGATCAGTATATAGAAAGCTATTTCATAAATTCACATTTGTATTGTTATTTGTCTGCACTGACTGTCAGCTCTGTACCCTCTATCTCTTGCAGATTACAAACAAAGGTTTATGTACACTTCATTGCATGTCTGTTCTATGGAATAGAGTGTATGTTTTCTGGCTGTCATCCAATCAGTTAAAATGTTAATTTAGCCATGAGCCATTATGGCAAAAATTGAATGTCATCTGGATTGGTTTACCGTGTAATGGTGTGTTTGCATTGTCATGTTTTGAAAGGCAAATAGGGTTGTGAGGCCTACAGGAAAACATTCACAGTTGTTTGACAGCTTTACATAACTTGTCACGTGGTTGATTATGAGACACAGGCACCCAAATACGTTGATTAAAAGAATGAGTTCTACACTGCATCACCACACGGACGGGTAAAGGCTGTTCGTCTGAATTACAGGCACACATTTTAACAATCAGTTGGACGTTCTGTCAAGTGAAACTACAGATTACATACCAGCATCAATCATGAAAATAGAAAGTATTGCCACTTCGGAAGAAACGAACATTGCAAGCAATTGCAAGTTTATAACAATTGGGGACAGAATGAAACCTCTTTTGATGTCCATGAAAATATTTGGATTCTACTTTGATCCACAGCAGGATAGCAATACATTGGAACAGTCTCAGCATGGACGTAAGAGAATATCTACATGGCTACTGGCATTCTTCAGCCACCGAGTGTATTGTTACATGGTTCTTCTTTTGCTGTGGTCCAACTTTGTCCGATGTGTTGTTGGCATATTCCCTCTTAATGAAAGCTTACCTTTGATGTTAATCTTCACATCCTGGTACCTTCAGTGCTCACTGAATGCAACTATTATGATTGTTTCATGTCAAAGACTGAGTCATTTGCGATCCTTCTTCCAACACTGGGATTCGCTTTTCGACAACAATGTGACAAAAGAAATCGGATGTGGATTCATATGCCCAATTAAGTATTTGAAGGTTGCGACATCATGTGGATGGGCTTTGTTCTTCATCAACATTGCTTCAGTTTTTACAATCACTCTTGGCAATTTGTCGACATCGAAGCCTTTCCTTGGTGCCATTGTTCGGCCGTTTCCAGAGGAACAATGGGCAGTCGCACTCAGTCTTATCTTGCATTCTTTAAACGCTGGTGCATGGGTATTTCCTGTCATCTTCGTGGTCGTAGTGTCCAGGGTCATCCAGGGTCAGTTCCTCAGATTTGGGCAGGTCCTTTCCAAGCAGATCAAGGAAGCAGATGACAACATCCCTGAACGTCTGCCAGAACTGAGATCTCGCTACACACAGCTTTGTCAGGCTGTGGATATCATCAACAGAACCTTCAAATGGATCCTCGGACTATCGTTGTTCCTTCAGGTTCTCCTGGCCTGTTTTATTACGTATCAGATGATAAATGACCCTCAGGAGACGTTTACAACTTCTACCCATTTATTTTGGCTTGGAAGTTGTTTTGTGATCATAATATTGCTGACAAGGTGCAGTTCAGATGTACATGACTCGGTAAGTACACACTTTAATGTAGCTTGTTACTGAATAAACAGGTCGCCTTGGGGTGTGCCAAAAAGTGCCATAATTCAATGTGCGTGATTACGCACAAGAATACAGTAGTCTCTGATTATGTTTTTAGGTTTTCCCTCATTTGTTCAACTATGCTATATGCTAGTATGGGTGTGTTTTTCCAAACACCTCTTCCGTCTACTGTTCATGTTTGAGATATTTGCCCACACACAGACGACTATTTACAAAATCTGTGCATAAATTTGCTGTTTAGATATTTAGCTGCAAAATCTCCTGGGTACTACTGTTTCAGGCCCATTCTTTACTGGATGATATTTTCAACATTGGGACAAAAAACGCCACTTCAGAACTTCTAGGTCAGGTGGGTATATATTTCTTGTCATATAATACTGGTTCCCAAAGAGAATGTTAATTATTTTTGTTGTGCCCAGAAGCAATGTGAAACCCTGAGGCTGTATTCCCGTAGTTTTGTGAAATTATAAACATTATCTTTACTTCATATTATATTGTGTGGATGGATCTTAACCGGCATAGATCACAAAGTACATTTCGATATACACACCTTGAACAAATATAATTTTGGCTAATGCTTTAGCAGACTGTTTGCCTGAAATCCACTTTTCGTAAGATACGTCAACATTTAGACAAACTGTTTTAACTCCGCAACAAAGTTTGTTAATTAAATTTGTTATTCTGAACAACACCACTAGGAATGGTACAGTCGAATTGATAGGGATTGCATTAAAAAGTATCACATCTACAATGAATCTGATTGTATTCATTTATGATTGAGCCATTTTCATCAATTCTTGCTTACTGTTTTTCAGCTGAACCTCTTTGTCGCCAAGTTGACAGGAACATCCACCGGATTCACGGCCATCAACTTCTTTGTCATCACAAACGAGTTCCTGTTGACTGTAAGTTGCAGAGTCAACAACCCATGCCTCTAAATCAAACATTTATCTCGACAATTGAAATCAATATACCACTATGCACAGTGACATGACTAACATGAAATATTGCATGACTTTGTGATATTTTGGAATTGACAAGTATGTTCAACTAACATAAAATATTGCATTACTTTGTGATATTTTGGAATTGACAAGTATGTTCGACTGATAAACAAGAAAATTTGGCTTTTCTGTCCTTCACGAGATCATTCCGTCTGAGTCGGTGAGAGAGTTTAAGTTTTACGTCGCATTGGCATTATATCAGCCATCAAGCGACAAGAAAAAGTTGATATATATATACACAAGTGAGTGATCAATACAAAGTTTTATTTAAAAACAAATTTCTCAAACATATGTGGGCATAGCAGCATTATTTATACAGTTTAAAACACGGGCTAAAGGCCACCAGTAACCAAAGCTAGCCCCCCTCGCTGGGGATCACAGGGAATTACAGTGATCATTATATAGTTCCAAAATGTTTAGGATTATAGGATGATTTGAGGAGCCTGAAGGAAAGACAATGAATCGGAGTCGATGATGTATTTGTTAGATTTGTTTTGTTTTGTTCGATAGAGGTCAAAGCTGTACAAAAACAGAGAAGAGTGAACTATTATCTTGGGTTCTTGAGGAGACAGTTTTGGATCAAATGGTTGTGGCACTTTCACTTTTGCAGCCATCCTTGGACCCGTCTGTAAAAATAGATCTATGAGGATTACACTTTGTTCGTAGCTGGTTGCATTCCTATTAATATTATATAATACCTTTCGGACTTTGTTAACCTGGTTAGAATGGGTCTACTCCTGGCTTAACCATCTGCCAAGGAGGAGAAGACTGAAGTCGATAAGGTGATATGATATGTTGCTGCTGTGATGTGTGGTTGAATTCTGATTTGAAGTGGTGAAACCAGGTTTGACAAATTTCGAAACGGCTTTTCATACAGAGGGTTTGTATGCTGGGATTGACTGATATGGATGTTATTTAGTTATGTATTGCAGTGATATTTTAATGCAGCGTTGTTCGAGAGAAGGTTCATTAGCTTCCACAAACTGTCCACAGTTTGTTTGTTTCTTGTTTAATGCCGCACTCAGGAATATTCCTGCTACATTGTCTATGACGGCGGACTGTAACTAATCAACCCGTGAAGATCCGGGTAGAATAGGTCTTCAGCAACCCATGCTTGCCGTAATAGGCGACTGTGCTTGTCGTAAGAGGCGACTAACGGGATCAGGTGGTCAGGCTCGCTGACTTGGTTGATGCATGTCATTGATCCCGATTGCGTGGAGGAGGCACGGGTGGCGCAGTCGTCTAAGGCGCAGCGATTCGCTGTGCAGATTTGCGCCCCTTGGACACACCAGAAACCTATGATTGTTGGTTCGAATCCCGGTTCACCCGATTATGTTTCTAGGTTTGTCAGCACCATACCCATGCTCGTGGGTTTCACCCAAGTGGTAAACGTCTGAGACCTGCATCATTTCGGGCTTTTCTCCCACATTAAGCTGACACGCTGTGATATCACTGGAATACTGTTAAAAGTGGTGTTAAACCCAACTCGCTCACTCACTCACTCAAAAGTGAATAGTGTTTGTGATTAAGAAAATTTAAAGCCGTTTTCGCCCACCCATATTTTAATTTGGTTCAGACAGTTGTAGCTGTCTTCCAATCGTATTCATATATTCTTACTACAGGAAATGTTCAAATCGTCCACAAAAAGTGAACCATCAACACGGTTGTTCAAAACTTCAGTGAAACTATACTGATGCTAAATCGTGTGACAAATAGGATGCTGCTTGAGGGACGCCCTGATCTTGATGAAATGAGATGAAATTGTTATTTAAAAATTGAGATATGAACTGAGGTAATCTGCCCCTCAATCCAAATTCATGCAAATATTTTAAAGTACCATGTTTCCACGTTGTATCATATCATATAATGTTGTTTGGTGGCAATGTAATGTTTAATTAAGGATTCTAAACGCTCCAAATCGTCAATGGTACTTCTTGTTTTTTTCGGAAACCACACTGGATGTCACTCAGGAGGTTATTGGTCTCCAACCACCAGGCTAATTGAATGTTATCAATACACAATTCCATTTAGAAAGTGGTCAAATGTAACAAACGTTATATTTAGGAAAACATATTCTCGTGAAAGTACAGATTCAAGTACTTTTTTGGGTGAGTCCCATTCAGGATTTGAACCCACACTCCCAGAGTGAGGCACCTAATCGCCAGTACTCAAAGTCAGCGATCTGACCCATTCCATGTACAGGACACCCTTATTATTGCTAACTATCGTTGACTGCCATGTAACTCAACATTCATTCATTTCAGTTGTGTGGACTGTTCATCACCTACTTCTTCCTCCTGCTGCAGTTCAAGATATAGGCTGACACCGGGTGGCCGCATTTGATCAGATCCGTGTATACTGGATAACAGTTTCACAAATGGGTCAAACAGCTGACACATTGAGACACAGTAACGGCAATTGCAGATGTGTAAATAAGGTTGCTATGATCATTGATAACGACCGGAGCTATGAAGGGCCATGTAAAAACCTTTGAAATAAAAATTGACATCAGTTCCCAATCTTTGGCAGTGTAGTTTTTATTGATACCTGCATTTAGCGAAAAAAGAAACTGAAAAACGGCCAGGGCCCTCCAATACCCCTTTACAAGCTATCGCAGTTCGAAACACCATTCATTTTGTTTTTATACTCTGTGCTCTCTTTACGTTCCTCCATATTCATCTGTCAGGAAACTTATCTCAGTCCAAGACGACCTCTGTGGAAGTGACCACTTAATATATAGCAGATCAATTTGTTATTATTCCCAAATCATCGCGCGGAATCCATTACGGTTTCGGTGTTAGACTTACGAATTTGATGTTACGCATCCGCGGCAATCACGACAAAATATGAAACATAGGAGTGAAGACTGCTACCCAGGTGCTAACAGGTGACGACAAATAGTAAATTATGTTGTTTCTTTTGAATTTGGATCTATTTCGGTATTTTCTTTAACTTTGGCATATTTTGCCTCGCTGTGTAACAGGCGCTACGTGCTCCCGGTTTCAGAAATGACCTATGAAATTGCAAGTATTTTGATTATTTTTTGTAATCTGCACTATTTTACGATTGAATGTTTTACCCAGAATGTATGCCAGTTCAGATTTTGTGTATCATCCAATATTGTCATTATTCGCCGTGTTTGTTGATTTTGTTCAACTAAACAAATCGCGAGTTAGGCCACGCATAAACATGTCACAACGCTCATCAACAGCATGTGAATGCTCGAAAGTTTATCACACGAAAACATTTGAACACTCGACAAAAATGTGATATTTTTTACAAAGATTTATACATCCGTGAGAATCAATATAGGTATTTAAAAAGTATTGTAATAGTATTACAAGATCATGACGCATATGGAGTTGTTTGTTTACCGCCGTTGCCATGATCGTACAACTGATAAACAACTGAAAGTTTTGATATTTTGCAAGCAGAGCATTTATGCATTTCACACATAACTTAAATACTACGCAAAGCCTAAAGATAAACAGTTATTGCGAGTTTCATTTGGGGGTGTCCTTCGACTATGCGCCTGTTGAATGGGTTCGACAGTAGCCTTGAATGCATTAAATTTTATAATATACTTCACTGTGAAAGACTTGGTTGTCAAAAGTTGAGAAAAGTGATATTTTCATTGCAGTGAAGATAACACCTGATACTTCACTGCTGTGAACATAACACTTGTTGCTTCCCTGCTATGAACATAGCACCATGACGGAACTATTGTCATACAAGAGTTACCTGCCCTCAAATTGTCTCCCTTTATCGTGTCTGGCCCATACACAAACTGTTGAGTACCTTTTACGTTAATTCCACATTGATAAGACAAACTAATGACCGATGGGCATTAAGTTAATATCGCTTCATGGCGTTTATTATTCTCTTGAAAGTGTTTCGTTATTTACTGTAAATAACTCACTTAACTTGTCAATCGAAACTGTTCGTTTCGCAAAGCTCCATTTTTGTTACTTGACCAGCGTGTATTCTTTCGCTGCAAACAGCGGTTTCGAAGTTCTCAAGAATATCTTTTGTTAAATTTTAATTTTGTATATAATCATATGTATTTGAATGATACAAATATTTTCGTGGCCCTACATATGTTTGGATACTTTTGTTTATATTTTTTTAAGATTTTGCAAACATGAAACTACTTATAGGTCGCCAATAGAAGGGGAGGTGAAACGTCCCTCTGTGAAAGGGTGGGAGAACTTACGTTTCAAGGTTTTACATTTGTAATGAAAGAATTTAATTTTCGCTAGACAACTACACAAAGAGTATATAATAAACAGGATATTCCATGTGTTGACACATGACATATCCTCTATATATTCATAAAATATAACAAAAGGAGCCAAGAAACTTTCTACATTTTCAGACACTGCTGTAATATAGACTTCAGTCTTGCAAAGTATTATAGACTTGCTATACTGAAGATATTTGTTTCAGGGTCTGTATGACAGACAAATTAAAACAGTTAAGAGTTATTTTATAATACTGTATAATGGTATATGATTGCCATCATGTGTACATCTAGGTTTGTGGAAGGTCTGTAAGTTTTCTGTGCAAGCTTTGTTAACAGTGGGTGCATCTGAAACTTCTGCGATGTGTTTGCAGGTTCCACGTTGACATCCACAGTGCGAGTTTCTTCTATTTCGCGGACACCTTTAGGATGAAAATTTGTTTTATGGATATATATCAAATCACTCAATAAGAATACCATCCACACTTTATGCACATTTCATAGAAAGTGGTCACTTAACATCACATGTATTTCCATATTAATTATGAAAGTGAAGCAAATATTTGTGCATTTTATGTCGTTTATTTGGGACGAACATTCTGTAGTAACATCAATAATGAAATGACTGTTTAAAAATATTTGATACATGGTTTCTTTAAGTGGAAGAAAAACATTTTGTGCACTTGACAAACCATAGCTGCTTTGACAATGCCAGTGAAGTACAGAGAATACTGCGATATGTGAATGCTGCAGGCATCTATGATTTTTCGCTTGGAGAAAAACCTCAACTTCCCTTTCTCCCATGCTATTGGGTCCCACGTGCACATCTTGCCATCAGCTGCACGGTGGTTCAGATATACTTCTGTGTGTCCTTGAGATATTGAGGTGCGGTGAAATTGGGTTTAACGTCGCGTCCATGATTATCGCACTTATATAGCGACGTGCATGTACGTGTGTGTGTGTGGCTGCTTGTGCCATATGCCTCTAATCTGAAACAACAACAAATGGCTTATTATTGATCATATCCCAAGTATAAAAGTAAATATTCTCTCATGATTAGTAGTATTAATTAGTATTTATTATCATTTATTATTAGTATTTATTATTTTTATTGAATTCAAGAGAAAAAAAACTAACCTAACAACAAGAAGACTGGTCCCATTAACATGGCTACTCATTACTCAACATGGATGGGAATAGATCGTTACAATGGTAAAACTATCACTTTATAGACTAATAGTATGACTATATTATCGAGGTATCGGAAAATCTCGTAATCCACACACCCTGAACCGTTTACTTCTGCAATTCTAAGCACGATATTTCATCGCTTGATCGAATACAGGACTCGTTGTTGTAGGGCCATATCACGGCTACTCGTAAGTCCACATGTTTACTTTTTTTATTGAATATTTGTTTTTAGTTGGAATAACGCCTACCTCCATTCAATTGATTAGAAAAGAACCTATTTGTTTGGACGAGGTCCCTTTACCCAACCTTGGTCGTATGCACACTGATTATGCTTATTCCAATACAGGAAGTGATGTAAGGCGTATATTCCACACGTGTCATGCCACAAAATTGCCCTACCGCGATAATACAGAGCTGCCCGCCCCGGAGTCGCTAATGACAGGTACTTTGTTTGCCGAATTCGGGCAAGAAAATTAGCATCTATTAATCCCAATTGATGTGTCATAAGAGTTTAACCAGAAACAATGACATATTTAATAGGGTAGTAAGCGTGTGCCATCATGGTCCATTATAAGTCAACTCTTTCAACACCGTAGGCCGATAGACCGGCCAAGCCGTTATCACGTCAAAATATTATATAATTTTATGAACTTACCTGTCATATCATTCGTTTATTAAATCTATCACATTTCACAATGTCTGAAATACATATTCCATCTCAATTTGTCATTTTTGATCGAACAAGAGCACAACAAAGACGTTTCAAGCAAATCTTTCAATAGATTATACAAAGTAAGAAATTACATCAACAAAAATATAACTAAAAGTTGTCAAACTTCCAAGTAAGTTATTGTTTACGTCTTTTCGTGCGATCGTGTGTAATGAAAGTCAATTGACATCTCGAATCTCGGCTTTCCTCGCCTCGATTTCTGCCTCGGACACGATGATAAATGGCAAAATTTATGCATGAAAAATCTTTGTTGCGGCTCATAACATAGCACAATACATCCACGAAATCCCATATTTTTAATATAGATCGCGATTTCCTGCTAAAAAAATTCTGACTTACTCGATTTAACAAAAACCTTTCGTCAAAATCTGAAATTCATTATACACGAGCACGGTATCATTGCTGTAATTTGATTGGCTGCCTTAGTTGACGTGCTCAAATTTGACCTTGAAGTAGATGTCGGCAAGAAATCGTCATTAGAAAACTATTTTTATCCAATAAAGTCGCGTGTTACAGCAACGAAAAGACACTAGTCGAGGTAAGCATCATGTAGATGAAAATATAAGATGAAATTTCTAATTCTCCAACGGAGGTTTTTCTTCATGTTACTGAGAGACCGCCTCCGTGGTCTACGTCCGCCCGGAGATGGTACTTGCTGTTACCCTGTCTGGCGCTCGGCATTATGGGGCTTAAACAAGGACTGGTCGGTTCGGAGTCAGTATACAGTGTGTGAGTTGGGTATTCATGTTAAACTGCGTCATGGTATCTTAGTGTGCTAGCACTATAAATCGGCATTAGTCCGGACTAGTACAAGCACACACACACACACACACGTGCATGCACGTTGCTATATAAGTGCAATAATCCTGGACACGACGTTAAACCCATTTCACCTCACCTCGCCTCATGTTACTGAGCGGAAACTTCCGCTGTTATCGGGAAAATATTTATGACAGATATTATTGATCATTCTTTTTAAAATACATATACAATGAAAATAAAAAAGAAATAGGTAATTGGATTTTATGAGAGAAAAAATTCCCCAGAAAATGTCTAATTTTCGCTTCCTTGGTCCTTAATCTGGACGTTATAATATGTTAGCTCACATTTTTTTTATTTACAACGAAAATAATTAAGTTGTAAATACATTACTGAAATAACGTGATAGAAATATGTATACCATACGTACTTTCATATGTATAAACAGTAGGGTTAGACCTTTCAAATGGTGTGTAATATGTAGTAGCAAAGATGTTTTACAAGCAGA